TTGTGGTGGGCGCCTGTGGTCCCAGCTACTTGGGAGGCTGAGGCAGGAGACTCACTTGAGCCCAGGAGTTGGACGTTGCTGTGAGCTGTGATGCCACAGCACTCTACCCAGGGGGACAGCTTGAGACTCTGTCTCAAAAAAGAAATATTAGAAAGATGAAGAAAGAGAACTGCCAAGTGCAGCAGCACAAGCCTTTAGTCCCAGGTATCTACAAGCCTGAGGCAGGAGGATCACTTGAGCCTAGGAGTTGGAGTCCAGCCTGGGCAACACAGTGAGACTCTTCTGTCTTAAAAAAAAAAAAAAAGGAAGAAAGGGAAGGGGAAGGGAGGAAGGAAGAAAGGAAAAGAAAAAAGAGAACTTACTCGCAATTAGCAAGCATGGACAATGATGCATCCATCTTCTCTATAGGGGGAATCTGGGCATAAAGTTTTATCTCTTTGGCATCAGACGGTTTTTGACCAGTTTTCTCTTCCTATGAGAAAAATTAATTTGGAAGAAAATGATTGATCCCTGATTGTAATGTGGAACAAAAAGAGGCCAGAATTTCCCAAGGCTTTTCAATGTTTATTTCAAAACAACTATTAGAATTTAACAAACCGTTTAATAATTCTTTACCATTCACTTATTGGAAACATTTACTTACTGATCCTGATCACCAGGCTTCTACTTGACTGAATGAGATAACTGATAGGTCCCTACCAAATGGAAATGAGGAGAAAAGAAAATAACTTTATTCTGTAATTAAAATCTTTGAAGAGTTTATCAAATAACAAAAACAAAGCACAACAACAAAAATATTTTTTTTTTTAGACAGAGTCTCAAGTTGTTGGCCTGGGTAGAGTACTCTTACATCACAGCTCACAGCAACCTCAAACTCTTGGGCTTAAGCCATTTTCTTGCCTCAGCCTCCCAAGTAGCTGGGACCACAGGTGCCCACCACGATGCCAAGCTATTCTTTGGTTGTAGTTGTCACTGTTGTTTGGCAGGCCCAGGCTGAATTCGAACCTGCCAGCTCTGGTGTATGTGGCTGGAGCCCTAGCCATTTGAGCTACAGGTGCTGAGCCAACAACAAAAACATTTTCCTGGGAAAAATTCCTTGTCCCTAAACAACCTTTAGTACTAAGTACACAATTTAAAATTTAATTATCAGTATATATTGCCTAAAAATAGCTTCAAAGCACTTCATTACTTAGAGTTAGTTTTATCTCTCCCAACAAAACTGGAAGTTCAGGAACCATTCCCTTTGCTTTCTTCTATTTTCCATAGAAAATTTTGTGCGTAAGACACACAAAAAAATCTCCTTTAAAAAACTTAAAGTACCACACAACAGTAACAGAAAATAAACAACCAACTGTGAAAAGAGATCTAACACATCCACTCAGTACTTATTTTTTGTGTCATTCACTTGTAGGTTAGGGGAAAGGAAACTGATACCTAGAAGATCCTCTGTAAGTGTTCAGTTAATCAATGAAAGAGTGAAACTGACATCTTCAAATAATCCTAAGGCCAAAATATATGGCCATAATGTAATCTAGAAATAGACTCTACAAACCAAAACAAAAAACCAACCACTTGTTATTATAACTAAAATAAAGTCCTAAACCTAATTGAAGGAAAGTCAAATATAATACTGAGTCTACTCTACACTCTTTTTTCTTTAACAGATTTTTCTTTTCTTTTTTTTTTT